GAAATTTGATTAATGAGAGATTAACAAAAAACTATCCTATGAACTGGTAGTGATACACGACAACATAGAAAGAGACATAACCCTCTTCTATGTTTCACCTGTTATGATCACATCATTTAAAAAATAAAAACCGAAATCCGGTTGCAATGGGATCAAACAACAACTCACGAAAGAGTAGCCAGATACTGCATGCAAAAAAAGAATGGTGCAGGAGAAACATACAAAATCATCCCACTGCAATGAGAAAACGTCCTTCCTGCGTACAGTTGGAGTTACTGTCCATAGGATGTTGGTTAAAGGGAATCTCATTACATTGTTTAGATATAGGCATAATTAGTTCATCGATTATGAATTGATTTCAGTATAAATTCTCCCTCTCGACTCTAGTGTCAGTTGTCCATAGCCTGACCCATTATCTATTCATTCGTTTACGTAATCACTTACCTAATCATATGAATATGTTTATTATATATGTACACACACGGTTTAAAATTTTTAATAATAATATGTAGTTATTGGACTCTTTCTTATCAGCTTAATAATTTTACATAATCACTTACCTAATTATATGAATATATTTATTAAGGAAAGATCAATCTTCAACGATTTTATTTTTATATCAAATTGAAGAATTTTTCTTTATTTTTTTTAATTTTGTTTATTTATCATTAAAGACAATATCCTAATTTTAAATTGCAAATAAATTTTGTAATTGAATTTGAAAATCACATTTATTTTTCTATAATAAATTCACAAACTCCATTAGTTATTGGCAGCCAAAACTTGAAAACAACGCTGCTGCAAACTAAGAGCCTTTACTTAATGTTAAGTATGGTCAATTAAGTATATATGGCTTAGGCATAATGTACGCTCAACTCATTAAAATTGGAGGAGGAGCCCCCCTTAAGTCTTATAGGAAAGATTAATTCTATATTTAGCCCTTTAAACACTATTCAAAAAATCTCCTAATTTCGCATATGAAATCTATTATACATATAATATATATTAATATAGATAAATATTACATAAAATAAAATTTTATTATCTTGCATAATTAACTTAGAATTTCAGTCATAGGAGGGTTATGCAAAAAGCCTTGATATTGAGAAAAGAACAAGTATGATTCAATCGAATCAAGTAGCGGTGTAGCTATTCGTTTTTGACGTACTAATAAAATAAGTTCTCAAACTATAACAAGTACGAGGAAAATTCGAACTATGAAAAGATTTTCACATCAGCGATGTACTATAGAAAATTATTTCGGAAAACATTATAATAAAATTAACTCAACATTTTACATTAAATTTGAACTTATACAATTCAATACTCTCCAACTACCATCTATATATGGACCTTGGGAACATCATACATGTCTAGACAGCAACAAGGAGGATAGTTGGCATTTAGTGCCATAAATTCGCATGCTTCCCATCCAATATATCCATCGTTTTTTCCCATTTTTCTAAAGATTTTTGAAGCAGGTCTCAAACTCTCAAGCAATAATTTACTTCAATTAGATAATGACAAGTTGATAATATCGTGTGAAACTTATAATTTGCCGGAAATGGATTTCGCCAAGTTTCGTCTGCCAACTGCTTGCAGCCGCATTAAATATCCATTACTCCATATTGTTTAATTATTCTAATTTTATCTCCAATTCTCTCCAAATCAAGCTGGATTTTTGTACTTATCATTTACTCCTGCTCGTAAAGAGTTCAGTCAGAAACATACCATGGAAAATCAAAGTCAATGCTTGATTGAATGATTGAGAGACCCCGCCACAGCTTTAGAGGTTAGAACTACTATAAAATGGGTTTTGATTTTACCTCTGAGGAAACAAGTTCAACCTCCTTTTGAGCTTCCAGCTAGAAGTGAACAAAGTGTCATGATCACCTTGAGCTTCATGGAGCTTGAATCTCCCTCCTTCATCACCTTGTTGCTCACCTTCTTTGTGTTGTTCTTAGCAGTCCAACTTGTTCAAGCTCAAAAACCCAAGAAATCTTTCACAAAGCTTCCTCCAGGGCCATGGAAGCTACCTCTCATTGGTAACTTGCACCAGCTTATCAGCACTCTACCCCATCACACTTTGAGAGATTTGGCCAAGAAGTATGGACCTTTGATGTGGTTAAAGCTCGGGGAAGTTCCAACACTGGTAGTTTCATCCTCGGAAATGGCGAAAGAGGTTATGAGAACCCATGATGTAACATTTTGCCAAAGGCCTTATCTGCTAGCTGCTAGCATAATGGGATACAATTTCCAAGATATCATCTTTTCACCATATGGAAATTATTGGAGACAGATGAAGAAAATTTGCATGACGGAGCTTTTGAGTACAAACCGTGTCCAGTCATTCCAATCAATTAGGGAACAAGAGGTGTCAGCTCTCATGGAAATCATATCTTCGAACGCAAGATCCCCAGTTAATCTCAGTGAGAAAATTTACTCCATGACGTATGGCATAACAGCGAGAGCAGCCTTCGGGAAGAAGAGCGGAGACGAAGAAGAATTCATAAGGATTGCCATAGAGGTTTCGAAGTTAGCAGGTGGTTTTTGCTTAGCTGATATGTATCCTTCTAATGAGATGCTGAAATTGATCAGTGGGATTAGGCTTAAACTCGAGAAGTTACATAAGGCTTCTGACAGGATACTTGAAAAGATAATCGATCAACACAAAGAGAGGAGAAAAGGAATGGCAAATACAAAAATAGGAAATAAGAAAGACGAGGAAGATCTGGTTGATGTCCTTCTTAAGCTCCAACAACAAGGTGACCTTGACTTTCCTTTGTCAAAGGATAACATAAAAGCAGTCGTCCAGGTTTGTGTGATTGAATTTTGATGAATCATGGACTCATGCAATTTCTAACCGATTCCACTTTATATACTTGCAAACGATTGAGAATTCTTCTAATTTACAGGATATTTTTGGAGCCGGTAGCGAGGCATCATCAAACACAGTGGAATGGGCAATGTCCGAGATGATAAGAAACCCGAAGCTAATGAAAGAAGCGCAAGCTGAGGTGAGAAGAGTCTTCCATGGGAAAGGAGAAGTGGACGAAGTAGGGCTTGAGAAATTGAAATTCCTGAAGCTAATTGTCAAAGAGACCTTGAGATTATACCCTGCTGGACCTCTTTTAATACCAAGGGAATGTAGTGAGGATTGTGTTATTGGTGGATATGAGATACCTGCCAAGACGAAGGTCATCGTGAACGCATGGGCAATAGGAAGAGATCCAAGCTATTGGAAGGAAGCAGAAAAGTTTCAGCCCGAAAGGTTCATCGATAAACCGATTGATTTCAGGGGAACAAACTTTGAATATATCCCGTTTGGTGCTGGAAGGAGAATGTGTCCTGGAATTTCCTTTGCACTACCCAATATCGAGCTACCCCTTGCCAAATTGCTCTATCATTTTGATTGGAAACTTCCAAACGAAATGAAGTGTGAAGATCTGGACATGACTGAATCATTTGGATTAACTGTAAGAAGGAAGAACGACTTGTTTTTGATCCCTATTCCTTATCGTTCTTCAATCCAAGGAAGCTAAACTAAGTTCCAGACTGCTTTGAAGCATACTTGGTGTTATTACGCTCTCTCCTATGGTCTTGATTATGATGGCAGTGACAATGGTATTTAATCCAGTTATGTTTAGTCCTTCTGTACTGTGTTTTGTTAAGTTCGTAGTAGTTTTTTGTCAATTTCTTTTACAGTTCTGATTCCTATTATAATGTCTAGTGTAATTAGCTTTCGTTAGTTAAATTCCTGTATTGTCGGCGTGTTAGGTTAATAATTTATTTTTATAGTTCTCTTTCCGTACGCTATTAGCAATGCCAGTTTTGGTAACATTATCCACGTATGAAAATAGTGTGTATATACAAACCAAACCGATAGTGTGCATATACAAATCAAACCAATAATTCCCTCAATTGTTGAACAGGCCAGTTGATGAATTGTAATTCTCATATGGTTTTTTTTTTTTGAAAGGTATAATGCTCGTATAGTTATTAAAATCCAATGAGACCATCAGCTTGGGGTAAGATTTATTGAACTGATAACCCAATGATATGATCGATTCATTTTTATGCTGAATTGGTTTATTTTTTGTTTTTGGATTGAATAATTAAATAATTTGATCAAATTCGGTCAAATTCATAATTTTTTTTATTAATTTGATATTGACTTAAGTGGTTAAATTAATTTTGACTTGAGTTTTTTTTTTTTTTGAAACAGCAATGTCATTTATTCTTGGAGAACATGTGAATAATCAGAATCCAGGCAGAACATGCTTTGGGTGGCAAAACTTTCTGTTCTGACTTATCTGTCAACGTTGTTTATATTTCTCTAGATGGAATTGATAGACTAATAAGACGTTTTGGTTAATAGTACTACTGTTTTACTATTTACAATTTTTTTTTGTCAAATTTTACGTCTCTTAGATTTTTAATTATTTTTTGTTGAAAAAAAAAATCGACTCCAGTAGATAACAAAAAGAAGCAAAAATAATATATGTATGCGTACACACACATGTATTTATAGATTAAAAACATATACTATTTGACACTTTGGTCATCAGAATTTAAAAATGGGTTTTGAAAGATATAAGTTATGATCATAAAACTGATGAAAGATAGGTAAAGGTTTAAGATTTTACCTTTAAAACAGAAATATAACTATAATTATTCATGGTGATGGAAATTTGCGTACGGGACATCTTTTCCATGAGGTTGGGGGTTGTGGAGCCAGTTATATCTCATGAGATGAGCAAGTACACGTACGGTGTCACAATCCAAGAGTTTGGACCAAGCTAGCCAGCTCAGTAGACAGCAGCCAGGTTCGACACATGACAAACGGCACCAACCAATTGACTTGAATTGAATTGTTGAAAATATTTATGATGGGGATTTTTTTTATTCAAGACAAAGAAAAAAGAATTTCGAATTCAATTCTTTAAACAAGAGATATACATATTTATTATCGAATATAATGTTTGAATATTTTATAATAGAATATTAAACAATGAGTGGTGTGGGACTGAAAGTCCAACCTGATCATGACAACAATGTGTGGCACGTATATTTCAGTTTGATTTTCTTTGTAGTCTAACTCATGAATCTGGTGGCAATGCTACTATTTAGAGTCTTCCGTAAGGATCAAGAAATTTGTATTTCTTTATAGGAGAAATTGTCTAAGGAAGGAGAGAATTTGAATTTCTAAACCTCATCAATTTTCTTAGAGAAATTTATATAGTAACTCTTAGTTAGATCAAGTCTTAATTGTTTAAATCGATTGGTAATAAATGAACATTAATTTAATTATAATATAATTTGGTGATAGTAAATTTAGGTAGGTAGCATGGAAATTGGTTTTCGACCACACGTACAACATGATACATATGGAAAATATCTAAGGTGGCTCCTCCCGTGAACATTTTTGGATGTTAAAAATCAATGTGGGTAGGCTCTTGCACTGAATTCACAGACAGGACGCTTGCTCTTCTCTTTCTTTAAATGTAGAAAGAAAATGATCTTGTTTTACTTTTACTGAGGTTTTTTCTTTTTTCTTTTTTCACGATGGTTGTTCTATGTACATTGAAGGCATACATCAGTGCAAGTATAGAATGAAGTAAAAAACAATTTTTTATATCTAAATTCAAGTTGAAAGATCTTGATATGCCTAAGTACTTCCTTAGCATAGAAATTGCTAGATTAGAAAAAGGTATTTTGTTATGTCAAAGAAAATATGCATTAGATTTGATTGAAGCACTTGGTTTGTTGGGAGCAAAGCCTGCATCTACACCAATAGATTATAATCACAAGATTACTGCAGCTACTAATGATGATTTACTAGTAGATAGTTCTAAAGATAGATAATTGGTTGGAAAATTGCTGTATTTGATATTCACTAGACCAGATATCATGTTTGGAGTACACGTTTCGTCACAATTTACGGATAAACTTAGAAATATTCATCTGCAAGCTGCATACAGAATTTTGAAATATTTGAAAGGCTCTCCTGGTCAAGGAATATTATTATCTTCTTCATCAGCTTTGCAACTTCGACGTTATTATGACAATGACTAGATTGGTAGTTTAGCAACAAGAAGATCTATCACGAGCTATGTAGTGTTTATTGGTGACTCCTTAATAAGCTGGAAGTCACAAAAGCAAAGTGTGGCAGCGAAAAGTTCTATTGAGGCTGAGTATAGAGCCATGTCTACTACTACTTGTGAAATAGTGCGGTTAATATATCTTTTGCAAGACTTTGGATTTCATCACTAAAAAAAAGTTGAGCTGAATTGTGACAATGAATCGGCATAAGGTATGTGCAAAAATCCAATTTTCCATGAATGTACAAAACATATTGACATCGATTGCCATTTTATTCGGAAAAAAGTTCTTACAAGAATCATGCAGCCTAGCTATGTAAATACAGCCTCTCAAGTTGCAGATTCATTTACAAAAGCTTTAGTGCCCAAGCAATTTCAATCAGTACTCAACAAGATAAACATTCTTAACATCCATACTCATCTTGAGGGGAGTGTTAGAATATGTGATTAAATTAATTAATCATGTATACTTCGCTTTACTATAATGAATTAACTTTTGTTTAATTAGTTAACCCTATGTATATAAACTTTTTTTTTATTACTGCCGTTTGATGAAGAACAAAAGACAAAATCTGTTTTACCATGAGGCTTCTTCTCTTATTTTCAGAACACTCTCTTCTTCTTCAAGTACTTGATACTCAATAAACTAATAAGAATCAGGATTGATATGCATACATAGCTCTGATCCAGAAGAGACTGCAGAGGGCCTGGACCATCAGAATATTTATTCATTTTCTTGGATTTATTACATCTTGGATTTTGTTTTCTACTTGCGTGGAGTATCGAAATTTCCCACGTGATTGCTGTCAGGATCACATGATTAATGATTTCTTATCTATGACTAGGAATTGTGTAGTTTTAATAGCATCCTCAAGCTACATATTGTTTTCTTTTCTTTTTAAAATATAGCCACCTAACCATGGAGGATAGGATGAGGCTACATATTGTTTAATTCTACCCAATTTACTTTCTTAATGATTATCCCCTAATTTTGAATTGATCCAAACTACTTCATCATTGGCACCTCTGTGTAAACTTCCAATTTTTGCTCTTCATTATGAAAAAGAAAAGAAAAAAAATAAAAGCTCTGAACTGGATTGACAGCTGATATAAATTTTGTTTATTTGGTAAGTTAACTTCAAGGTTTCTTAGTTTAACTTCATTTTTCGTTCCGTGCGTAATCTATAAACGAAATTCCACTAACAAAAACTCGTCAACAATGGAGCTGCAATTCCCCTCCTTGTCAATCTTGCCTTCTTCCTTTATCTTCTTGTTAATAGTTGTTAAAGTTGTGAAGAGAGGGACAACTTCAAATAATAACATCAAGCTGCCACCAGGGCCATGGAAATTACCCTTTATAGGCAACATGCACCAGCTTGTTGCCTCGCTACCTCATCACATACTGAGAGACCTGGCCAATCAACAGGGACAGCTGATGCACCTATGGCTTGGTCACATTTCGACCATCGTTGTTTCTTCAACAGAAATTGCAAAAGATGTCTTGATAACTCATGGTATTGTCATTGCTCAAAGACCTCAACTATTTTCCATGAGTATCATTACTTACGATTTTAGGGACATTGCCATGGCACCATATGGCGATTACTGGAGACAAGTAAGAAAAATTTGCACGGTAGAACTTTTGACAGCAAAACAAGTCCAGTCATTTCATTCAATCAAACAGGAGGAGGTCTCGGCTCTTGTGAAATCCATATCTTCAAATGAAGGATCGCAAGTCAATCTTAGCGACAAAATTTTTCCCTTGACATATGGAATCACATCAAGAGCAGCATTTGCTAACAGATGCAAAGACCAAGAACATTCTCATCAATTGTCAGAGAAGTAGCAAAGCTGGTTTCTGGATTTAGTATTGCAGATATGTACCCGTCATTTCGAGTGCTTCAACTGATCAGTGGAATAAGACAGAAACTTAGGACTCTGCATCAGAAGAGTGATAAGATACTTCAAGTCATCATTGATGAACACAAAGAGAGAATGGAGAGAGGAAAAATAAGTGAAGGAGAAGTAAAAGAAGACTTAGTTACTGTTCTTTTAAAGATTCAACAGCGTGATGATCTTGAATTTCTCCTAACTGACAACAACATCAAAGCAGTCATCTGGGTTAGTATGCCAGTTTTTTTTTTTGTTTTAGATCATAATCTTACACAAATTAATTGGTTATGGTTTCAAACAAGGTGTGGTTCATACTGAACTTAGAAGTTGGAACTTGTTCTAGTTTTCTATCTCAAAACCAAGTTATATCAGAACTCAGATTTTGCAAGTTTCTATAGTGAGATTGTCTATGTTATTATCGTCAAAAGTAATTTTGTGGGAAAAACAATTACCATTTTGCTCAAAGGTATCAAATATGTTTCCATGGTGTCTGCCCAGTTAATGAAATTAATGATTTGTACCAGGAAATTTCAAATCTAGTTTTGCTCGGTTTGATATATATATCCAATGTATCATCAACCTGACCTCATGTTGGGTTCACAATCTATCAGGATATCTTCATTGGGGGAAGTGAGACATCGTCAATAATTGTGGACTGGGCAATGTCAGAAATGCTGAAAAATCCAAGGGTGCTAAAAAAAGCACAAGATGAGGTAAGGCAGGTCTTTCGTGCAAAAGGGGATGTGGATGAAGCAAGCATACATGAATTAAAATACTTAGCATCAATAATCAAGGAAACCCTGAGGTTACACCCTTCTTTTCCTCTGTTACTTCCAAGAGAAAGCCGAGAGAATTGTGAAATTATGGGATACCAGGTACCGGTCAAGACCAATAGCATAATCAACGCATGGGCAATAGGGAGAGATCCGAAGCATTGGAATGATATTGAAACATTTTACCCTGAAAGGTTCTTGAATGCTTCCACTAATTTTAAAGGAACAGATTTTGGGTATATCCCGTTTGGCGCAGGAAGAAAGATGTGTCCAGGCATCTTGTTTGTACTCCCTAACATTGAGCTGCCTCTGGCAAAATTGCTCTACCATTTTGACTGGAAGCTTCCTACTGGAATGAGGCATGAAAATCTAGATATGACTGAGAGCTTTGGGACGACTGTCAGAAGGAAAGATGATTTAATCTTAATTCCCGCCCCTCATAGCCATTCATCTGTTGAATGGTAATTCTCTTTGAACTGCATATTAGTTATTGTTTTCTTGTTTTAGAGATGTTTTTATTGTCTCAATAAAGCTTTGAGAACATGTGAATCAGATTCCAGGCAGACATGTTGTAGGTGGAAAAATTTTCTGTTGTCCCTTATCTGAAAATGTTGGCACACCTTCTGGGATTGTCAAGGTTTTAACGTTTGATAATATATATTGTTTGCTGAAAAATTGTGACAAAATTAGATCTTTAGGCCTAACATTCCCATTAGGCTAAAAGTACATACTTTTTTCAAGTCTATCTATAGCTATATTTAGAGGAAGCCCAAAAAGCTTGGCAATGTTGCCTTAAAAGGATAGCCCAAAAGGCCTTTTTCTTTTATTTTTTTTAGTTTTTCAACAAGTATTATTAAATATCAAGTCATATTTAATAAATATTAAAATAACAATTGAAAACTAATTATCTTTTCTTTCCATTAAAAGTTATAAAAAATTGAATCCAACTATTTACTTAAGAATATATATATATATATATGTTAATTACTGAATCAGATTATCTAATATAATTTTCTTTATCAAATTAAAATATATAACTGTACCCGAGCATTTGACTCATTAGTTGATACATTATCCCCTACTTAGAGCAGGATTCAAATCCCTCTCTCTTAATTATAATAAAAAAATTAAAATATATAGCTGTTAGTTATATTTCAAAGAAACTCCGAGCTTTCTTACTTAACACTTGGTAATATTGTTCGGAGAAAAGCTGCAAAGGGCTTCCTAACTTTCATAAGATTAATTATTATTTTCTTTTTTTTTTAACGTTTGGAATTGTCAAGGTTTTAACATTTGATAATATCAGTTATATTTTATTTGCTGAAAAATTGTGACAGAATTAGGTTTTTAGGCTTAACATTCCCACATGGCTAAAAGTCCAATCTTTTTCGAAGCTTATCTTCATTTATGGAAAGCCTAATTATTTCTATTAACCAAAGTTTCGAATCTGCCAAATCTGGCCTACCTACATATTTTTTATGATAATTTATTCAGAAGTTAGGCAAGTGTAGAAACTTTGTAACAGCCATGTGTTTTCCTTTTCTTGTTTTCTTACCTTTAGACATAAAACAAAAGCACGATTGGATGCCAAGACTAGAATTGCTTGACCACTTGAAACTTTACCTACGAGAACTTTTGATTAAAAAGAATCATTTGCTCCTTAGTTCTGCAATCCTGCTCATCAACAATGGAGCTGCAATTCCTTTCCTTGTCAATCTTGCTTTCTTCCTTTCTCTTCTTGTCAATAGTTGTTAAAGTTGTGAAGAGAGTGACAACCTCAAATAGAAACATCAAGCTGCCACCAGGGCCATGGAAATTGCCTTTTATAGGCAACATGCACCAACTTGTTGGCTCACTACCTCATCGCATCCTGAGAGACCTGGCCAACCAACATGGACCCCTGATGCACCTACGGCTTGGTCAAATTTCTACCGTCATTGTTTCTTCAACAGAAATTGCCAAAGATGTCTTGATAACGCATGGTACTGTCTTTGCTCAAAGACCTCAACTTCTTTCTATGAGTAGCATTACTTATGATTTTAGGGACATTGCCATGGCACCATATGGCGATTACTGGAGACAAGTAAGAAAAATTTGCACGGTAGAACTTTTGACAGCGAAACAAGTCCAGTCATTTCATTCAATCAGACAGGAGGAGGTCTCGGCTCCTGTGAAATCCATATCTTCAAATGAAAGATCGCAAGTCAATATTAGCGACAAAATTTTTTCCTTGACATATGGAATCACATCAAGAGCAGCATTCGGTAACAGATGCAAAGACCAAGAAACATTCTCATCAATTGTCAGAGAAGTAGCAAAGCTGGTTTCTGGATTTAGTATTGCAGATATGTACCCATCACTTCAACTGATTAGTGGAATAAGACAGAAACTTAGGACTCTGCATCAAAAGAGTGATAAGATACTTCAAGGCATCATTGATCAACACAGAGAGAGAATGGAGAGAGGAAAAACAAGTGAAGGAGAAGCAAAGGAAGACCCGGCTATTGTTCTTTTGAAGATTCAGCAACTAGATAATCTTGAACTTCCCGACAACGACACCAAAGCAGTCATTTTTGGTTTAGATCATAATCTGACGTGGGGGCGTAGATTATTGTGAAATACATTAATCGTGGTGAGGTTAGAAACCTCACTAAGGTGATCATCAATCTTGATGAGCATCAATCTTGACGATGTTAAAAAAACCCTAATAAGGTGAATAATGGCTAAAATCTCATTTTAGTTGGCCAAACCAAATATATTAAAATCTCTTGCTCTTCTAAAAAGAGCTTAGAGAAATTAAACACTCTTGAGAAATAATTTTTTATTAATTCTCAACTTAAATGTCTCTAATAATTAAGCCAAGAAAGCTTTATATAACTATTCCTAAAGAAAAGAGTCTTTTAACTTTCTCGTGTGAGATTATTATAATTCTTAAATAAATAAATAAATAAACAACCTAATATAAACTTACTTAGAATACAAGTAAAATTAAAAAAAAAACTCAATTTAATTTGACTTAATGCACAAGTAACCTAAATATTATATTCCTATATCATTCTCCTTAGGTCCGAGAAAATCACCTTCAAGATTAAGTCTTCTTCGTTTTCTCCACAATAAGGAGAGAGATCAACCATGTTGAAAGTAGAAGAAACTTCATAGTCTTTAGAAGTTTGATCTTGTAAGCATTCTCATTGATACGTTCCAAGACTTGAAATGGTCCATCAATTCATAGAGATAATTTTTTATGAGACTTAGGAAAACATTCTTTCCTTAAATGAATCCATACTAAGTCTCCTTTTTTTTAAAACTAGTTGACTTTTGGTGCTTGTTGGCTTGCTTTTGTTATTTGGTAGTTTGACAAATAATTTTCTCTCAAACTTTTTCATTGAGCTTTTTTATTTGCTTAACGCATTTTTCAGCATTAGCACTAAATTTACAAGTAGTTGGTAACATAAGAAGATTCAAAGAACTAAAAGGGCAGTTTCCATACATTACTTCGAATGGACATCTTTCAATGGTTTGGCTCATAGAATTATTATAAGAGAATTCTACTTGTGCTAACACAAGATCCCATTGGCGAATGTGTTTGCCTACAAAGCTTCTCAATAAGTTTCTTAAACTTTTGTTGACCACTTCTATTTGACCATCCGCTTGAGGGTGACTTACTAAACTAAACTGCAAAGGAGTACCCATTTTCTTCCAAAGAGTTTGTCAAAAATGACTCATGAACTTCACATCTTAATCTGAAGTTATGGTTTTTGAAATTTCATGAAAACATACAATTTCTTTGAAATACAAATTAGTTATGTGAGAAGCATCATTTGTTTTATGACATGGCACAAAATGAACCATTTTGGAAATCTGTCGACGACTACCATTACAAAGTCCTTTGGACTTTTAGTTCTTGACAAACCCAAAATAAAATCCATACTTACATCCATCCAAGAAGCTTCAGGAATGGGTAATTGTTTATACATACCAGTGTTTTGATTTTCAATCTTAGTAGTGTAGTAAGTATGGCACCTTTGAATATGTCGAATGACATCTCGTTCCAGCTTGGGCCAATAAAATTTTTCTTTTACAAAAGCCAATGTTTTGTCTCTCTCAAAATGTCTAGCTAATCCTCTACTATGAGCTTCCCAAATAATAGATTGGTATAAAGAACATTGAGGGATGCACCGTTGGTTACCTTTGAAAGGATACCTTTCTTGTTGATGAAATTGTTGATAAGGATGTTGAGAGTTGGACTTCCACATCTCACCAAATTCAAGATCTTTCTCATACAATTCTTTCACAACTTTGAAACCAACAACCTTTAATTGTAAGGTAAAGAGAATAGTAAGGCGACGACTTAAAGCATCATCTACATTGTTTTGTACACTTGACTTATGCTTGACGAAAATTGGAAAGGCTTGAAAAAACTTACTCAAAGCTGCATGTCGGCAATTAAGCTTGTGTCGAGAGCTGAGATGTTTGAGAGCTTCATGGTCAAAATACAAGACGAATTCCTTTGGTAACAAATAGTGGCTCCAATGGTCTAAAGCTCGAATAACGACACAAAAGTCTTTATCATACGTTGAGTATTTCACCTTTGCAATTAGTCATCCCTCTTGCGATAGAACAACACTAATACCTACATTGGAGGCATCACAATCAACTTCAAACACTAAATCAAAATTTAAAAGTGCAAGCATAAGAGCCTTAGTAATCCTCTCTTTCAATTCCTCAAAGCTACATTGTGCTTTAGTACTCTATATGAAATTATCGTGCTCAAGGCATTCAGTAAGTGGAGTCGATAAAAAGAGGTCAATCCATGAAAGCTTTGAATGTCATGAAGTGACTCTAGAACTGGCCAGTTGATAATAGCATCAACTTTACTTTTATCCACTTCAATTCCTTGGCTTGACACAACATATCCCTAGAAGATAACTTTGTTTGTCATAAACTCGCACTTCTTTAAGTTAGCAACATTTTGCACTCGAAGTACTTCAAGGATCTATGATAAATGTTCCAAATGCTGCTTCTAACTTTTACTATACACCAAAATATTGTCAAAATAAACCACAACAAACTTCCTAAAAAAAACGTGAAACACTTAGTTCACTAGGCTCAAAAAGGTGTTAGGTGCATTAGAGAGGTCAAATGGCATAACTGTCCATTCATATAACCTATCACAAGTTTTAAATGCAGTTTTTCATTTATCTCCATGTCACATTTGAATGGAAAAATAATAGCACCATGCAATTAATCCAACAAATCATCAAGTTTAGGAATGGGAAAATGATACTTAATGGTGATTTTGTTCACGACATGACTATCAATGCAAATATGCCATGTTCCATCATTTTTTGGAACTAATAAAGTAGGAATAGCACAAGGGCTAACACTTTCTCTTACCAAGCCTTTCTCTAACAACTGTTTGACTTGACGTTATAACTCCTAATGCTCTTGTGAACTCATACAATAAGCAGGCTTGTTTGAAATTACAGAACTAGGAATGAGATTGATGGCATGTTGGATATCTCGAATTGGTGGCAATCCGTGGGGTATCTCATCAGGTACAACATCAAAAAACTCCTTAATTATGGGCTTGACATCCTTGGGTAAGG